TGGTCTCGGTCTTGTCTCGGACTCGACCACTTTTGTCTTGGACATTGAGGATTCTGGATTTTTTTTTTCAAAGATCATAACTGTGAAAATATCACTAATTTGCCAGTATATTGACCTTTTTTTTGTTAACATCCTTGCTTTTATTGTATGTAAAACGTACTGATTCAAATTCAAGCAATAACGTGACTCATTGGTCATTTCTAATTATGTATTTTTGTTACCGCGGCCTGTCACCCATGTATTCATGTTCATATAAAAGGTTGGAGAAAAGTGAAGACTTGTTTTACATTTTGTACTAAATGATGGAAGTCACCCAGGAGTATTGAATAAAGATGGTTTATTTTAGCTTTGAGTGTTAAATATCTCTGTTTTTATGGAAATGTGGATCTTTTAGATCAATCTGAGATTTCCGATCAATCTCTTTTGATCATGTTTCACATTTTATTGTGTCATGTAGTGTGGGGTGCTGGTCTTGGTCTTGACTCGGTCTCGCCCTCCCTTGGTCATGGTCTTGGCCCTTTAAAGTATTGGTCTTGTCTTGTTCTAGATACACTCTGGTCTTGGTCTCGGGTTAGGTGATCTTACAACACTAGATGTTTGCATTGTCTCTAAATGTATATCTTCTGAACTGTAAAACTGGTCTGTGCCTTGATGATTTTTGTTTATATTTAGAAAGAAAATGTATATTACTACTATGGTCATCTCCTCAGATACCCTCAGTCAATATGTGGACGAGTTAAGCCGCTACTCTTCCACCGCTGGAAACTTACTTTTTTTTTGGTCTATATAATGTCTTTTTTTTAATTGTTTTTTAATACAAAATATTTTAAAAAAAATTTAGATATTTATTTTAAACATTTTTGATATTTAAATATTTTGTATTGTTTTTAAATCAGATACGCCCTGTTGTATCATAACTATTATTTCTATTTTTGTTTCATTTTATGTATATCCAAAGATTGTAAGGTAATATTTGGCTGTATGAGCTGTTATGAGATACCAGTACCACTGTTGTGTTATTGTAAAAAAAATAATAATAAAAAAAGTAAAAAAATAAAAGTATACATTATACATATACTAATTTTTCCACCATCTTTATTAACAAATGCAATGCAAATGCAAATCCATCTTTTGGAAAGCAAAGCCTGTTCAGAAGCTAATCAGATCTACCAAGACAATGTTCATTACCACGTCTTCCGTTCCTTCACAATAATAAAGCTGTAACCGCATGAAGGGACCTTACATGGTAGAGTGGCGTGCAATATAAGACTCTCAATTACTTTACTTATTAGGACATGCAGGCTTGGCAAATCATATTAGACAGCAAAAACAGATGACCAATCGCATGGAAAAAGCAACTTTGAGGATGTTTGAGTATGAAGAAACAAACACTCAGTTTGCTCTAATTGTGTTAGCCAGGCCTGTAATTGACAGTTACACCTGACAGTCACCTTGACAAAGCAATGTCACATTCTCATCACGTGACTACTCCAAGTGCATGTGTTATTTCAACAGATGTGACTGTCAATGCATAAAGTCAAAATCTATCTTTTCCACCAGTACAGAAACGTCAATACATAGGCTACACTTGACCTAGTCAGTAGGACTTCAAACACCATAATCAATTTCAAGTTCAAAAGCAAATTGCCTGACAAGGTCACTAAATGGTTTCTGGAGAGGATTGCTCAGTGGGGTGCATTTATAAAATCTGAAAAACCTGGCTAAAATGAATCAGAGGCTAAAAAAAGGGGACAGAAATCAGCGTTTTCAAAATATCCTATACTATTTTTTTTTTTCAAACCGTGAATCATTGGATTTGTACCACTGATATAAGATGCTAGAAATCAAGTTTTATTGAGAATTAGTACAATAGCAAAGATTTTTAATGTTTTTACAATAAGGTAATATTTTGTTAACATTAGTTAATGTATTAACTAACATGAACTAACAATGAGCAATACATTTGTTACAATATTTATAAATGTATGCTCACCAGGGCTGCATTTACAGTAAAAAATGCAACAAATTCAGTAATATTATGAAAAATTATTAGAAGTTAAAATGACTTTTTTTTCTATTTTATAATATTTTAAAATGTAATTTATTCCAGTGATTTCAAAGCTTCAGCATCATTACTCCAGTCTTCAGTGTCACATGATCTAATATGATGATTTGCTGCTCAAGAAAAAAATTCTTATTAATATTTTTGTGAAAACCTTTATACAATAAAAAAAACAGGATTCTTTGATGAACCGAAACAGCATTTAAAATAGAAATCTTTTGTAACATTATAAATGTCTTTACTGTCAGTGCTATGCATTCTTGTACAAAATATATTCATTTGCTTGTCACACTTTAGATTAGGGTCCCATTCTCACAATGAACTATTAACTATGACTTTTGCCTCAAACTCCTAATTATGGCTTATTAATAGTTAGTAAGGTAGTTGTTAAGTTTGGGTAGTGGGTAAGATTAAGGGATGTAAAATATGATGATGCCGAATAAGGCATTAATATGTGCCTTGTAAGTACTAATAAACAGCCAATATCCTAGTAATATGCATTCAAAAGTCTTGTGGACGCATATTTAGTATGCGTTTTGTGGCCTTATTTACGAAACTGTCATTTTTAGTTTTTACAATAACCACGCATAAACAATATTCTCTCAAAAATACAAACATGTACATGTTGCTCATATATTATGGTTGCCCTGTTTCTGCTAAATATAGTGTAATTTCACCTGTGCCATTAATATGTTTAGAAGCAGCTGAAAAAAACACAGATGTCAGGGCATGTCAGAACATCTCAAGGACCCCAAATACACCTTGGTCTTCAGAGGGTCAATAAGCATCTAGTTAATAGTGAGAATTGGACCCTAAACTGAACTGAAGTGTGACCTATTTCTTTATTTGCATATGAGAAATATCAAAATAAAATTATAAATAATTATACAAAATATAGAAATATAAAATTAGTAGTCTGACTTTTCCCTGCCAAAAAATATTTCAAGAATCATATACAGAACCAAATCACTCATTAAATCAAATCAAATTTCTTTGTAACTCATAATCAATTGTTCTGAATTCACACAAATTAATCGAAAACCTACAGTACGAACAGTGAATGAAATCGATTTTCTGTCTACCGAAATATTCACCCCTAGTTAATTTACATGGCAACATCCCACAATAACATTTCCACTTTCTTTATTGCTCTTTAAAATTTCATTTCCAAAATATAGTATCATTGAATATTGTCACAGCCCTCACGGCTGTGCACTTAACTCAAAAGTGACCACATCACTGGCATACTAATAACAAATTCAGTCAGTGATCACAGAGTCTCACGGTAGCGTGCATTTGATTGACACCACCGATGGTATGCGTGATCACACAAGGCCCTGAGAGCGGCAACACACTAACACTAACATGAATCTATTATGACCAGCTGACTGTCAGCACTGGACACTTCCACAGCCTGGCTTTGTTCTCTGCAGTGTTTGTGATGGTGGATCTAACCCTTTAATAATGTCTACATTTGCAACTAAGACACAGACAGAGATTGTCATGCATGAATTAGTGCACATTACCATCAAGCAGTGTCTGCATATACAATATACTGTTAACGTCTGGTTGTTGCAACTCTTATGTAGGATCATAAACTGAGAATGTCCTAGACAGGAGTGAGCATTACGCTTCTGTTAGAATGCTAAGATGTTGCCACTCACCCAGGCATGGGGCCATTCTTGGCCAGGTTGTAGACTTGACGAGGGTTCAGCAGGTACTAGAACATTCGGAAGATCCTAGATAGGACAGAAGTTATAAACAAATCAATGACTAGGAAAAAATACATTAAATATCGATAAAATCACTTCCATCACCATGAAATCAAAATGGACAATTCTTTTTTTATTATTATTTTTTTTGTTATATTGGCGTACTTATTATAAATGTTTTTAATTTAATTATAATTTTTTTAACTCATGTGCCCTCATAATCTTAAATCAAAATAACTCCCCTCTCTCTTGCAATGACATCTCTTCTCTCTGATGACATGTGTACTACTGACAACCTGTCACTCACATGAGATCGACCAATAGCAAACCACAACCGTCCAACCATCCAATTAATTCCCGATGGACAAAATAATGTCCCACCCTACATTTTTTCTTGTTTGAGAAGCTGTTTCACTCAGATTTACATTCCAATAGGGGAGAAAAGACTATCGCAACTTACATTTTGTGCCGACTTTAAAGGGATGGTTCACTTTGAAATTCATTTGTTTCCGCAGTATTTTCAATTTTGATATTTTTAGGTCAAACCGTTCTTGTCTGTCAGTCATATAATGCAGGTCTATGGTCACCACCTCAAAGGGCATGCACAGAGAAGTCCAAATTAAACATGATTTAATGACTTGTAAATGTAAGTACACATTGATGGCCCAAGACACGAAACGAGCGGTTTGTGTGAGAAAACAAACAGTATTTATGTCGTTTTTACCTCTTGTAACCATAGCCACGTCCAAGTGATCTGAGGGCGCGGGCGCTTTTTGGCTGTGGTTACAAGAGGTAAAAGCGATATAAATACTGTCCGCTTTCTCACACAAACCGCTTGTTTCGTGTCTTAGGCCATTTTGTCACCACCTAATAAGTATTAGACATCATTAGATCTCATTCAATGTGGTCCATCAAGAGGAAATGAGATTTTATCTGGATCTTTAGGATGCCAAAAATGGGTTGTGAATTGGAACTGATTTGATTAGATCATTAGATCCTCATTTAAGTTGCCAGAAATAGAATTGAAACTCAAACAAGTTCCATCAACAAATTGATGGAAATCAGAAAATCCATCATGCTCATTTGACAGAGGCTCCAAATTGACTCTATTGTCTAAATTAGAACAGTAAATTACAATTAGACAGTTGAAATGCTATATGAAAATACTGAGGCGTCAATTTCTTAAATGTATCTTTCACATCTCTCACCTTTCACCTTTGTCTGCCTCAACTTTTAGGGTTGACATAGTGGATGAATTCCTTGTGATGACGTAATCTACAGAATAAATTGATGAAAAGAATTATTACATATTCTAATTTAGATTTTAAGTGGATTTAGCTTTTAAATCAGTTGTTGTCAATACCATGTGCACCATTATCAACATCAATTAGAAACATGTCTTTTCTACAAAACGTTTGCTTAACAAATCTCGCCAAATATCTCTCATTCAGCATTAAACCTGCAATTTTTAGTGAGCAATTTGATATTTCTCTCTCTTTTTTTCTTAATTATAAAAAGAGGCCTACTACATAAAGTATAACATAAATGTTGTTGAGCTCAGAATAATTATTTATTTATTTTTTTTTTTTTACAAAAAGTCTTAACATGTCCCAGCCGTGAAAACCCACGTCATAAGATGCATCTAGCAAACCTCAGTAATCAGCTCCATATTTAGTCATTAATGACAGTCTTTGACCATGAGTCACTTTTCTGCACGGATCGCATGATGATTGTGGGGTTTTGGAGCGGAACGCACAAACTAATCCAGAGAGTGTGAGTCGTCTTCCGGTGGACAGTGACTCAGATGAAGCGCTTAAAACAGACCCCATCGAAACAATCCCAGCAGGCCCAGGTGAATTAATGAGCCGCCCGTCCGGCGACGAGTGATCCATTACTTCCTCTAATTATAAATAATAATCCTGATTATTACACTGGTTAGCCGCCGCCAGCCAAGATGGATGGCCCAGGACATGATTCGTCTTTTTTCGTTCTGTCATTACTATGCTCAGACAGCGGCTAAGTCACAGTGGGTCACTGTTGTCTCAACCAAGTTAAGATCTAAGAATGCAAACTAGCTTGCACAAAGTGGGATTTTGAGATATAATTGTCATTTTGGCTGAAACTTAAATAATAGTTAATGATTCTTCACTAGGAAGTTCATCATTAACATTATGGGTCACCCTTTATATTAAGTGTCTACAACTACAGTACTGAGTATTTACAGTATGTTAAAAAAAAAAGTATTGTTAGGTATAATGTACTTAGTGTTCGTATGGGTAAGTTTAAGGGTAAGGAAATGAATTACAGCAGGTAAAGGTCAATTCATGCAGGTATATTATTTTTATAAAAGTACAATGAAAAACATACATAAGTGCACAGTGATTCAAATATTAGTACATACTTAAAGGGATAGTTCACTTTGAAATTAATTTTTGGTATGTTTTAGCTTACCTCAAGGGCATCCAAGATGTAGGTGTCTTTGTTTCCACAGTAGTTTCAATTTTGATATTTTTAGGTCAAACCGTTCTTGTCTGTCAGTCATATTATGCAGGTCTATGGTCACCACCTCAAAGAGCAAGCACAGAGAAGTCAAATTAAACATGATTTAATGACTCGTAAATGTAAGTACACATTGATGGCCTAAGACACGAAACGAGCGGTTTGTGTGAGAAAACGAACAGTATTTATATCGTTTTTACCTCTTGTAACCACAGCCACGTCTAAGAGGTCCGAGGGTGCCGGCATTTACAAGTGGTTACTTACAAGAGGTAAAAACGATATAAATACTGTTTGTTTTCTCACACAAACCGCTCGTTTCGTGTCTTTGGCCATCAATGTGTACTTACATTTACGAGTCATTAAATCATGTTTAATTTGGACTTCTCTGTGCATGCTCTTTGAGGTGGTGACCATAGACCTGCATTATATGACTGACAGACAAGAACGGTTTGACCTAAAAATATCAAAATTGAAACTACTGTGGAAACACCTACATCTTGGATGCCCTTGAGGTAAGCTACAACATACCAAAAATTAATTTCAAAGTAAACTATCCCTTTAAAGACATCTAATATAAAGTGGGTCCACCCTTTTTTATTTGTATGCATATATCTTAGTTTCATTAGGGATGAATAATGCACAATATGTCACATATCTGTGGCATATCAGTTATCAAATTATTTTTTCAAATGTACTTGATATGTAATAAATGTATTTGTTTACCAATCTCAAAATGAATATCCATTCTGGGAAAACACCATATATTGTGTATTATAATGTTTTGATGCATAAATTCAACGAATTATTTTAGTTGTTACCTGTTTAACCGTTTATTTATTTAGAGAAAACAGCAAACTATCTGAATATACGCAATTTATCCAGTAGGATGTCCATATCATATAATTCATAATACATAAAAAATACAAAAAATAAAATATTTGAATATAAGCGCATCCTTAGTTAACATGTCCTTTTTAAGTGCCTTTTTGTCTTCACTTTAACCTTTAGGGGTCTAAGCTGTTTTCTGGGTCCTGGAGGTGTTCTGACATGCTCTGACATGTGTGCTTTTTTCTGTTCCTTGTGACATTTTCATAGCAAAAGTATTATTACACTGTATTCAGCACAAACTCAGCTACAATAATATGTCAGCAGCATGTATGTAAAATTTTGTAGTTTTTAGATAATGACGTTAACGCGTGGTTTGTGAAAAAACAAAAAACAATTGTCCATGAAATAAGGTCATAAAACCCATACATATTATTTCTTCACAAGACTTTTGAAAATTGTATCACATAGCCTCAATAATGTCCCTAATTAATATGAGATCTTATAAGATGCATGCATAATAATTATAAAACAAATAGCTAAATAAAAAGTTTTAGATGGATGTTACCTCAGGAGGACAACATTAGGGAAGCACAGTTTAACTTCAGTTTTGTTTGATATAATCTGCAGGAAATGGACACCCTGCTTTTAGTAACATCCCACTCTACAATACGTGTGAAAGTGTGTCATTCACCTGTAGCCCCTGTCCATCAACAGATACAGAATTGGTCCTTTGTGTTTCCCCTCGGCCTCCTGATTGGCTGGAGTCTTTTCTCACAGTAGACGGTCTCTCCTGCAGTTAAAGGTCACATGTAAAGGTCTAAAAGGCCTAAGCTTTCTATAACCATTGATTCCAAAAATAACACAGGAAAAGAAATATGAGATATTACCAGTATAACAGGACATATAGTGTATGGACGAAGAATGTGATCTCTCAGAGCGAGGTCCGCAGTCTGGTTTTGACGTGTGAAGCACACTTGTGTAGGAGGAGAACATACCTTTAACACACATCAGACTATTCAACAGTATTATTTTACGTTCAGACTTATGTTACCGAACAGGCCAACATGTTGAATTGATCAAATAAGTATGTCTACTACTATTATTAAATTGTGTGCAAGTTTCACAAAAATAACTTTAATAATTGGGTAACATGCCTTTAAACATGCCCCAAACATAAAAACTGTGATAATTATTTGTAATGAGAAAGAAAGTGATAAACTTACTTCAATCTAGCACCAGACACAATGAAGGCCCGGGTAACACTTGATGGCTTTGTGACACTTATCACACTTGCTTGGACAGTTTCCCTCAACCCAGAAATGATGGATAATCTATTCAAGAAAACATTCTGTTATAAACACAGAATAAAGAAAAAAAAGGAAAGAAAAAACAGAGAAAGGAGTATGTGTTTTGATTAAGACTCATCATTGGTGTATTTGGGTCTCTTTTTAAACCAGGTTAATCATGTAATTAGCAATGCTTAGAGAGAGAATTTCTTTCTAATTTCATTAGCTGAAAAGAAGCCCTTGGTCTAAGCTCCGTGGAACATTGCTGATCCAAGCGTGCCGTTTTTTAAACACTACAATTCGACGCACCTCTGTGTTTTTCTTGGATTTGACGCATGTTTTGATGCAGAGCCACACGTGAACGGTGTACTTGCAGACTATGAACCAGACAGACAGAAAATTAATTCACAAAGTAATGTAGAAATGTTTGGATGATTTGTTACTGGTTCCTAATCTATCAATTTCTATAATTTGAAATATTTGAGTGTGTATTTTAATTATATTTGAATTGCTTATTTAATATCAAACATATTTTTAGAGTTAATCTTCAATATATTATTTATTTAAATAAGATCTACTTCACCGAAGCACGAAAATATTTATTTTTTAAAATAATAGAAATTACATATAAAGTAAATTAAATATTATCATCTCACAACATCTTCAAACTTATTTATATTCCAAATTAAAGTAATAACATGATTGTTTACTTGTATTTGTCAATTTGTACTCATCAAATAAGGCAAAAAAAAATAAATAAATAACAGAATCATCAAGTGATCAATGTAATAAATGTTGTGAACTAACAGGAACAGCACATGCCTTGCTTTCCCAATCCAATCAACATATTCAGACACAGGTTACAAAAGTCCTTCAGTCTCTACACATGCTGCACGTCACCCTTTACTTTCTGCTAGAGAGAGAGAGAATGAGAAAGACAAAGATGACAGTGAGAGAATGAGAATAAGACATCAATGAGGACTTGACAATGACAATACAACTGTAATGAAAAAAACATTCACATGAAGGCGATTGTGGAATCCTACTGGGATATGTCTTGAAAAGTGTCAAATATGCATCGTTAACAATTTGGAGGTCTTGCCAAATATCAGACACCAGACCACTAATGCATCTGTCAAAGCATTTAAAATGAGTGGAGGACTCCATCTAGTGGGTAAGGAGAGTGGAACATCAATTTATCAACTGATGAATCTGTTTTTCTGGCTTCTGGCTGGATGGTGGGTAGTTGGACAAACACATATAAATACTGTATATAAAACTGAACTGGTAATCAGCGTTAAACCACTAGATGGAGTATTCAGAGGTTTAAAAGACACTTAATATCCAATAATACTGCATTATTGATCTGACTGCACTGATACTGTTGGATGAGAATAAAACTTGAACTGAATTGAGAAGCTCAAATCGACTGCTTCATAATTGACAATTTTTGCAACATCAAAACGAGCTGAATTGAATCAACACTGAACTGACTCGAGCTGAACACTGACAGTATTGTCTTCTATAGAATTAAGCTTTTATTTAAAGAAATTTGCATCATTGATTGTTATTTTCCTGTTTATTACTGTGAAGCTGCTTTGAAACAAATTCTCTATTGTATAAAGTGCTGTATTAAGAGGGATTGACTTAAAACAGTAATAAACTGGAGGGACTGCTGGAAAGAGGACTCACCTTACTGTCTAAAAACCTGTTCCCATCTGAAACAAAGAGAGACTGAGAGAGGTTGAAAGAGAAAATACTGCAGTTTTCATACAAGGATAATTTATGCATCTGATAGTGATAGGAGTCCTGTTTGGCAAATTCTCTATCCTTCAAAATAGGATAAAAAGGATATCTATGAAATGAACCTCACTGAAATCTAAGCTTTTCTAAGAGGCATCATAAAGTGGGTGTTGCCATAGCAACCAGCAGCTCAGCCAATAGCAAAATCTCTCAAGAAGTCGATTTAATCAGGTTTAGCAAAATTTAAACAAGACTAGCACGTCACAGACGCCCTTTATGCAAGCCGATTGTTCTTTCTTTCATAATGACTCAGAGGTGCTATCAGCCAGAGGTTATTCGAATCTGAGCATTTCAGCAGTTTGAAATGTCTGTCTGTCCATAACAACAGGTCTCTGAGCTAGCAGCCTAGAAATACAAATTACAAAAGCTGCCAATAGATGGCAGCACAGCCTCGTGTTTTCTGCAATTACAGAACCAAATGGAAACCCAACACAATATAAAGAGTTTGTTCCACATCACAAAGAACTTGCAGGTGTTTAAATAATGGAATAGTTATAGTAGGTGATCCGGTTACACTTTATTTTGATAGTCACTTTAGACGTTCTACTAATTATAAGTAACTTTTCAACTACATGTCAACTAACTCTCATTAGAGTATTAGTATATTATAATAGGCTGTCTGTAGACTGTTAGGATGGTTAGGTGTTAGGCTTTGGGTTAGGAGAATAAGTTTACTTGTAGTCGCCAAGATACTTATAGTCAGGTGAATGTCTGTTGGGGGACCAACAAAATGATAGTGATATTTCAAAGCAGATATTAAGCTGACAGTCTACTAATACTCTAATGACAGTTAGTTGACATGTAGTTGAAAAGTTACTTATAGTGAGTAGAATGTCTAAAGTGGACTATCGAAATAAAGTGTTACCGGTGATCCTACATTCAAGATTGTCTTCTGGTCGTCCACCCTCCAGGAGAGAGAACTAGCAAATCATATCCTTAAGCTGGATTGTGCCGAGAGGTTCGAACAAGGCTGTCACCTTTGGCAGAGTGCAGCTTCCCTTTATTAGACCTTCAAGCACAATTTGAGTATGTTTAAAGCGCACTACAGTATGTATTTGCTATGTTTAGGCAAGAACTGAAACTAGAAATCACTGGAATCTCCATTTTTGGTGTTGTCCTGGAATTGTTGTCCTGGAATATTAGATGTTGTCCTGGAATATTGTTGCAGCTCTATTGCAAAGTTATTAAAACTGAATAAAAGGAATAAACGAAATATAGCTGCTTTGTGCAAATGTGGCCAACATTATCGGTTCTTACACTACCAGGTCAGTGAGATTTTTTACATTTTTAATTTGATCAAAAATACAGTAAAAAAAAAACATTGTTAAATATTATTACAATATAAAATTTAAATTTCCATTTTAATATATTATATAATATAATCATTTATTCCTGTGATCAAAGCTGTATTTTCAGCATCATTACTCCAGTCTTCAGTGTCACATGATCCTTTAGAAATCATTCTAATATGATGATTTGATGCTCAAACAATCATCATCAATGATGAAAACAGCTGTGCTGCTTAATGGAAAAGTTCAAAAGAACAGCACTTATTTGACACAGAAATGTTTTGTAACGATACAAATGTCTTTACAGTCACTTCCGATCATTTTTTTTTTTTTTAATGAAATTATCTTTTATTTTTTTTGGTAAGGCAAATTTCCATCACATACATTAATTACAACTTTAGTCGTTCCAGTACATAGGTAGGGATGGATGCAGTTTAGACGAGTTTGTCCATTTCGCCCTTCTGAGATTTTCATTTCTGATCCATTTAATGCATTTTGTTAACACAGTCTCATCCCAAGACGTCATATAACTGACGTTTTGGGACGTATTTTGACCATACGTCAATATCCGCCTTTTTAGGGCCCCCTTAAACGTCGGTAGATGGCGATCCCGGGCCGTAATACAACTGACGCTTTACCTTTAACGTCAGTTAGGTGACGGGTTAGGTTTAGGGTTAGGTTTAGGTCTGGGGTAGAGTTAGGATCCCATAACCTCATCTACCGACGTTTAAGGGGGCCCTAAAAAGGCGAATATTGACGTATGGTCAAAAGACGTCCCAAAACGTCAGTTATATGACGTCTTGGGATGAGACCGGGTTGATTTTGTACACTGTTTTAACTCATCAAAATAAATGATGCATTTTTTTTTTAATAAGTTATACAAGATTATTTTCATTTTTAAGTCAGTTTAATTTTGATTGCACTTAAATTTAAGGCAGGAACTTTTTTTTTTACAGTGTAGTAGCTTATTAATAGATTTTTAATTAGATATTACAGTGTATTAAATTTGTTTTTTTTTTTATAAATAGTTTTGTATAAGGTTTGTACAGCCTGTGTAATTGGGAAGACCCAAATTACCCATGATCCTCTGCTTGTCCATCACGGAGAGGCTTGGCTTGGGGTCTTTGTTGCAGAAACCGAGGAAGAGATGCTGAGAGAACTCCACAGCAAGTTCATTCTCCAGAAAGAGCTTGAAACCCTCAAAGTCAATTTCCTGCTGACGGTGAATACTCGGTTAATACTTCATACTAACATAATAACTGCATTATCAGGCTGTAAAACTATAAAAAGACAAATTACCTTGAAGATTTCTGGCTTCTACGCAGAATAAAATGACAAGTAAGAGGCATCTTCAGTAAATGGATGGTAAGAAATTATGGAAAGACAATTGTTTCATTACCCAATAAAAACATCATATAGCTTAATGGTTCTAAAATCTGTTGAAATTAGATCATCATCATAACATTTGGTCGAGTACAGCATTCTTAGCATGGACACTGCGATATAATGTGCTTCACAAGAGTTGCAAGAGCTCTTCTGGATTATACTTGGCCAGAATCCCATCTCCATGAACTCCTGGAGAACATCTCTTAGTTTCTTCGTTGTGTCTGTAACAAAGGAGTAAAATAAGAGGAAGATAACAGTTAAGACAGTGTAAGGAAATTTAGCTCAAGACATTTAAGGGTCAATGATGTGTTGACGTAGTGCTAAATTATACCCCCAAAAAAACTTTGAAGGAAGATCTTTTGGCATTTTTTGGATATGGCAAGGTTACACTCCCATTCAAACGTTTGGGATCAATACAATTTTTTTATTTGATGCTTCCCTTCCATTTATTTGGTGATAAAATACAGTAAAACTATTATATAAATATATTAATGTATTAATAATCGTTTTATATTTTAAAATGTAATTTATTCTTGTAATGGTAAAGCTGTTTTTCCAGCATCATTGCATCATCATAAACAGCATTTTTCCAGTGTGAACTATGAAAATCAATCAATCAATCCAAAACTAATTTGTATTGCCAAACATGCGTAGTTTAGCCGATACGCTATAATAAATAAGCTGTTTTCCCCCAAAAAATGTATTCAGATTAGTGAAACCTCTCCTCCATTGACATCCATTAAAATAAACGGCCTCTGGTCTCCTTCCCTGCATTACTAAAGCTTTCTCCAACATCTTGGGTGGCATTGGGATGAGTAAATTATCAGAAAATTTTCATTTTGAGGTGAACTAATCCTTTATTAGGCATTTCAGGGAGTTCAGAAACAGTGTTTACTGATATAAAGACAAATGTAGTGGACCTTGTAACTTTTCAGACCCTTTTTATGTTCAAACAGGAACATTAGACAATAAAGAAATTTGAAAATGTAAAAAAGAATAATTTTGAGGAGATCATCTCTATCATTGAGTCTGATGATGGTAGAGCTCACAACTATCAAACCTGGCCGACATTCATTCAGCTGCAGAGAGATGTCTCTCTCCTTCCTCTTCAATAATGGCCCATATTGTCGTAGTGAATGCTATAGCCAATCACAACGAGAGAAGCCCAGGCCTGGCACAGGAAACAGCGGGCTCAGGGGGCATCAATTATTTAGATTACTCAATTAAATGCAGAAGATCTCTGTTCTCTGCATACGTAATGAAGGATCTTTTCCTTGACAGTGAATTTGTTATGTGAATGCAAAATGACGGTTTTGGCGTCTGTATATTGATCTTTATGTGGTCGTTTATGTGGTGTGCAATAGATCCTTTATTATCGTTATGTCAAGCAGATTCCTGCTATTAAAACTGTCCAAAAATATCTCTTTATCTTAATGGTAAATATAATACATAATGGGTTGACAGCAAACACAGAGATTTACTAACCGTTTCCTCCAAAAAGAGATTATAGATGACACTTCGGTCAGACTGACTCCCTCCACAGCATCAGCACTCAAAGGAATCAATGGTCATCATAGATGGATTATATATTTAGAGGAATTAACAACTGTCTGTCAGAATTTTCTCTCCCATAATAGTCTGGTGCCGACTAGATTAGACTGAAGACTTAACCTTAAGCTTCAGACAGGAAATGACATTTCCTTAAGTGACACATGCACAAATGGTGTTAAATGGTTCAATTTTTATTCCTGTGAACTGGCAGCCTGTCATAGTCCCTGCAAGGATATTTAGATGATTTAGACTATTTTTGGAGATACTGGAGAATAAACCGTCAATGATGAATTGAATTTAAACTACACTGCATAAAAACATTTTTCTTGTTGTTCAGTATAAATATCTAAACATTCTTAAACAAAATAGATTTTCTTGAAAAGAAAAATTACTTAAGATATTAATCTGCCATTAAACATCAAAAAAACAAACAATTTATAAAAACAAAAGAGAAACCAAAATTATTTTCCAGACTATATTGGCTGATATTATTTCTTGTTTGAAGTATAAACTCGCTTAATTTGAATTATTTTTTCATTATACAAGACTAAATATCTTAAGTAAATGTCTCATCAAGTAAATGTCTCTTGATTAAAGCTTTGTCGCCATCTCTGTTCGAAATCTGCAATTACATTTGCAGAATTATCAACTTTACGTGAGTTGTGCCTCGGCACGGCACAGCGTGGATGAACGCAATGTTTGAGGAGACTGTGAGGCTGTCAGTCGGCACGTGGTGTGGATACTGGCATTCAGAATCACAGATTATACTTTCTGGAAGTATGACCAACATAAGAATTTCACCGGAAAATGTCTACATAATAACAACTAGAAACATCCACTTTTGTTCTAACTGAAAAAAAGGTTAACAACGTCAGCATTGCGAGACTACATTTAATGCACGATGTCCGATATTTATCCTTTTTTTCACATGGGCCGTGAATCTCCCGCGGAAATCCACCAGTACCACTGGAGTTAAAACGATTATTACAACCTTATTGTTTTGAATCGTGCTAAGGCAAGCAGATAGTTTTGAACACTGGCTGGTTATGTACTTGCTCAAAAAACTTTTATGGGATCATTTTAACCCAAAAAAGTTACAGACAGGAGCTTTAAATAACTTTTTTTAAAATGTATGAAAACATTTTAAAAACTTTTTAAAAAATTTTTCAAACTTGCCCATTTTAAAAAACATAAATATAACAAATGTTTAATTGAAGTAAACATAACTGAGTTGAACTGTAAATGATGCATTGATAAACAAACTAAACTGGTTTAAACTAACCAACTGAAGAATAACAAAAAAGGCTTTACATTGTGCACAGTCTTGAAGAAGAGAGAATTCGTCCGGGCTCAAGGTGACGAACTTTTCTTCGTTAGACAGACATGCTGCCCGGTGTTCCTCTGCCTCGGTATACATTCCAGAATAAAATCCACCAGCTCAGCCTCGGAGGAAAGAATGAGAAAACTGTCAGTCATCCGCTTTTGACAATGCGTAAAAATGAAACCATATTACCAACGTAATCTCATCCTAGGGAGGCTTTTGACAATGCGTATACATCCAACGCACAAGACACCCTTTAGCGTCAATATGAGACGCACATATGGGCCAGAAGGCGCCTCCTAGTGGTCTAACCCTACCCATGTGCCTTGTGCGTTGGATGTATGCATTGTCAAAATTATAATATCATCTTATAAGCAATACCGATAAATCACACATCAGTTTCTAAATGCATTAAGCTACTATTTTCATAACAAATATTATAGTTTTAGAAATCACATGTGCCCTGAAATAATCAGTATTACCTGTTATTATTATGGTTTTGCAACAAGAACACACATTTAAGTACAAAAGGCCTACTGTGTTCAGAATATTTATACGTTCAGAAACAAAAAGAAGTTTAAATAAAATGAGATCACGCACTCATCCATTCCTGAAGCATTCCTCAAACTCAAGGAAAACTCTGTAACTCAATTCTTCCTGTGTAACTTCCTGTGACAAGAGCAGGAAGTGCCTGGAGCAAGTGTCTTTTCTGAAAGATAGTCTTTATTTATGAATAAAAGTGCCTGTCATGTCAAGAAACCAAAACAAACTCTTCTCAGCGTTACCTCTGGGTATGAAAAATGCATAATGTTGGCCCCGTCTTGACCTTAATGGTTGAAATGCATTATACCCACAAGCCAGGCTCACAAAAGTGACAAATTACAATAGCATTAAATGATCACAAACATTACATACAATAATGCATATTCAATCCTGCACCATTAGTCATATCAACAACCCTGGAATAAAAAAGCAATGAAAATACAGCCAAGAGCTCAATCATGATGTCACTGGTAACAGATGGAACATGATTCCCTCTTTCCCACAAACACAAGTGCTCAGTTCGGAGTTGCACTCACCTGATGCTTCTCAGAATCCAGCAGGCATGTTATATCGGTTCCTGCATCGTCTGCGAGAATCACGGTGTCCGTGTCTATGGGGAAATGAGCATGAGAGAGGAACGCTGGAGCGAGGGAGAGCGATCTCCTCATCTGCAGCAATTAGTTCTCATGCCTCTGTTCGCATCACACACTCCCTCTCCCCTCCTCTTTTCCCCCTTGATCTTTCCATCTTGCCATTTAGCAGGCAGTGGATCTAGGATGAGATATTGGAAGGAAATGCAGCCTTATATGTGTACTTTTACTGGTGATACAGTTGAGAACCAGACTCTCATCCAAAGGACCCCCTTCTATGAAAACGCTGAATAATATTGTATATTAACCTCAACTTCAGTTAACATCAGCAAACATTAAATGACACTAGTAGTGTTGTTGACCTATTGCAGTTTAAGTAATAACATGCTTAGGGTCATGTTTTGGGTTTGCTGTGCTACTATAACAGAAATGGATTCGCATTTGTTTAATGATGACTCTAGAGATCTAATCTAATTAACCAAATATTATATAATTTAGTAATTTAATTCCATTTAAGCTTTTATCAGACTCCATTTTATCACAACCTCGAATTTAGGTAAGATTGCCAATTGGTAATTGGTCAATTAAAGGATTATTAGGAACACCATACCAATACTGTTTGACCCCCTTTCCCCTTCAGAACTGCCTTAATTCTACGTGGCATTGATTCAACAAGGTCCTGAAAGCGCTCAGGTAGGCCGTGGCATTTAAACGATGCCCAATTGGCACTAAGGGGCCTAAAGTGTGCCAAGAAAACATCCCCCACACCTTTACACCACCACCACCAGCCTGCACAGTGGTAACAAGACATGATGTTGTGGCTTCACAAATGCTTTTCTGCATACCTCGGTTGTAACGAGTGGTTATTTCAGTCAAAGTTGCTCTTCTATCAGCTTGAATCAGTCGGCCCATTCTCCTCTGACCTCCAGCATCATCAGGGCATTTTCACCCACAGGACTGCCGCATACTGCATACTACATTCTTTGTAAACCCTAGAAATGGTTGTGCGTGAAAATCCCAGTAACTGAGCAGATTGTGAAATACTCAGACCGGCCCGTCTGGCAGCAACAACCATGCCATTTTTTTCAGTGAACTATCCCATTAAGTTAACCAATAATATGTGTGAATGCACAGAGCACATAACTTTTCAATAAATAGCTTTTTGAAAGCAATTAACAAAGGCAAATGACTGCCAACTGCCTAGTTGGAAAACGCAACGTAAACGGCACATATTTTATGAACAATCTTGTACAATCTTTCATTTAGACTTGTTACAAGGCTAAATGAGGCCACAAATCCTATAATACTGTATATTTTACTGTGGTCAACATCCCGTGGAAGAGCTTCATTCCAGGCTAGGAGACAGAAAGGACGGGCCTGTTTCTTTCTAGTTCTTCCAGTTGATGCAGGCAGTGTAATGCTATAATCTGAACATGAGTCATTTGGGTCTTTTCTGGAAGCAGAACACCACATTTGTAAGGCTAACAGGACCCATGTGCCATTTCGAGGAGGACAGGCCTGTTATTTTCACCGCATTAAACGTTTTACCTAATCACGTCTCTGAAAATTGTTACCAGTCGATTGTATTGTACTTGTAATGTGGATCTTGCAGTCCGGTCGTAATAACCTGACAAAACATCAGCGCAAAAGAGGTTCGGGTCATTGCTAATGTGTTTTATCCTCACATCAAACTCAATGTGCACGCATGCAACTAACAGTCGGTGATGGCAGGAAAGCCAAGCTGTCATGTGAATAAACCTGCTAGTTAATATCATAACAGAACATGCATATGTGTAGTTTAGACTCCAAAGCCTTTGAACAGAATAACCAATCCCATTTGAATATTATTTTTAAATGTTTGTCAATGGGGACCATGTAACCTAAGGAACAGTTATTCACAGCTCCTATTCAACACACACATACAGTGCTGAATATCACTTGCTCACAAATAAGCAAAGCAGGTATACAAGCATTCAAGGGCTTTTTATATGTATATATACATATATATTTATGCAAATGTGTAACATAATTCATCTAAAGCAGTTGTTTGGGTATGTTTCACCATGTTGCCACTGAAAATACTAAATGTGTTAATATTCTACACTGCTAACATCAACTACTGCTGCTTTAATGAGCAGTAACATTACATTCAGATTCATCAAACAAATTTGTCATTAATTATTTACACTGCTTAAGCACACCACCACTTCAATCCAGGTGTGAAATCCAGATGTTATGAAACTGGATATTAAAATGCAGAAATAGTGAGTCACATTCTGCTATTTGTAAATGAGTAAATCAAATGTAAAACAAGCTCAAATGTTTGGCAAAGAACATATTTAATCAATCATTTTATATCTTTTTTACCATCTACACTCTATAAAAATATGTTCATGATTTGTAATCACAACATAATTTCTTTTGTCAAATCAACTTAAATAATTTATGTGGTTCAGATAACATAATATTTTGAGTTTCTGATGATTAAATCAATCTCCTTCATTGTATTAACTCAATTTTTCCATTGCAATGACCTTAAAATTTTAAGGCAACCAGGTTACTTCATTTTTTAAGTTAAACCAACAATATTTTTTTACTAAAGTTAATATTGTTATTGTGCTGGGAGGCAGCTTGTTTATGCGTTGCATTATTTGTCTGGCTGAGTGTGCGCTGATGTGATCAATTATATAGAATATAATATATGTGATTTATTATACCCAATTATACTCAAGAAGTGGTTCAGTTTTTAAAAATACACCATAAGGTATTCTTTTTTTATTCATTTATTGTCATAATTCATAATAATAATAAAATTAATTCAAAACAAATGAAGAGTTCAGATGCAAAAGCCTCTAAGTGCCATTTGAAATTTTCTTCTAGAATGATAATTTTTATCAAGCTTGTATATTTAAGTTCAGTAATTTCACTTAAATTACTATTAGTAGGTAATCTTCATTGCAATTTAAGTGAAATTACTGAACTTAAATATACAAGCTTGATAAAAATGATCATTCTAGAAGAAAATTTCAATTGGCACTTAGAGGCATTTGCATCTGAACTCTTCAAATACTTTCTTTCAACTAATCGTAAGGGTCAGTGGCTCCAAGCCGCTCTGTTATTCATGTCCTTCAGGAATTGTTCTCCACTGGAACTGTCCCACTCCCAGTCAAAAAGCAATGGAATGATCAATAAACATAAGTTTGCAACTGAATGAAATGGGGACACAATTTTAGTGGCCCTGCTAGTACCACCTGGTGGTAATTTGTAGAATTACATGAGATCACTCCACAGCTAACAACCAGCCTCCATTGGTTTATTCAGACTGAGTAGTCAAATCAAGATTTTTCCTAAAATATATATATATATATATATATATATATATATATAGCTATAAAATAGGCATTAGTATATATAATGTAGGTATTTCATGTTGTCAGTAAGAGTTCAGGTAGATTCTGTATGATAAAACTGGTCTAAAATGTCTAACTTTACACACAGTTCTTCAAAATACTCTAAGATACTTCAATGCATTTCAAATATGGTATGCATCCAGATAAAGCTACAGTTATTATACATTGGTACCTTCTGTGTTTAATTTACTGCACTATATGTGCTTACATGTTAAAAGTTAATTTCAAGCTGGTTAAAACCATATTGCCATTACAATACATGTCTCTAGTGTGTTAATATCTTCATTCAGACCATTTTAATAGCATCGTTCCAATGCCAAACCAAAATCAGTCTGAAGTTTGTAAGAAGATAGATTCATAAAACTGTGTAACGTGTCAATGTGAGGTTGTTTGTTGTCAGTTGGGGTCTTATCTAGTTTTGTTTCTTCATCCTGTTAGTTAGCTGGTTCACACACTGTAAACTCCAGTAGACTGCAGAGATTAAGACAAAGACCTGCAGAAAACAAACAGATATTTCAATTCAAATAGAAAAAAAGGTTCATATTAATAGGCAAACTCTGTTTACAGAAAACTATAACTTTCATAAACTAGTTTCATAAACTTTCATACACATTTCAAATTAAATTTAGCAAAGTTTTAAATAGTATTATGTGTTTACATTATTGCAATGATTGTGATTATAAAACATTGTAATACATAATATAATGTAATGCATTGTGATTTCTTACAATTTCACTGTGGACTCAATGTATTTGTATCAATTACATTCGTCAAAATCTTATTTGCAATTAAATGTGAGCCCTAAAAATGTCACATACCAGGAAAATATACGTAACTAAAAAAAAAAAAAGAATTAAAGCCAAAAGGTCAAGCATGTGGCCAAAGAATCTCCCATGATGCATTTGGAGTTGAGGTTCACAGAAGCCACTGTGGAAACAGGCCAAAAGTGACATTCTTCCAAAAAGCTGTAACCTTAACTGCCCCTCCTTCCTTGCGTTCAAGATCATAAACTGCATCCGAGCTCTAAACGGAGTCCAAAATCATATTCTGTCTATCAGAACTACCTCTCCGATGGGAAATAAATAACCATAGTTTCCTCAGGAGCAGCACAGCTGTTTCCCTCTGAGAGAGAGAGAGAGAGAGAGAGGCATGTCTCTGTGCTTCCTGACCTCCTGCTACCTGATTCCACACATCTAATGACAATGCCGTTTTTACAATGCATGTTGTTTACCCTTATTCATAGAAAAATTACTAAAAAAGTTATTATTATTATTAAATTAAGTGCATTTTGCTCAAGTCTCCTGCTTCTCAGATTTTCTTGTGACCTCCAAAATCTCAAAATGTGTCTCAAGACTGCTTAGATTAGTCTTCAATTAGGCTAAAGGTCAGAGGTTACAATAGAATTTCTCCTAAAATTATTACATTCTGTAATATGTAACAGTGCTCTCTCTTTTTAGGAGAAATATCTTAGACAATACTACAACTTTTCTTTGGGGAATCGCAATTGGACAAAGGCCCTACTAAGTACAAATGCAAGAATGATTCACTTTTGGGACATTACTCCATTCTAGACTTTTTATACTGTATAAATATTACAGAAACAAATGTATCATAATTATGGCATAAATGTTACCATTAAATCCCCTCAAAATACAAAT